ACGACCAGCCACCAAACGGGCTGGTAAAAATGCCACAAAACGGGCAACGACCGGCGACGGGTTGTGCGAGCGGCCGAACACAACATGCGAGGCTGACGGCGTTGGCCGACGGAAGCAGGAAGATGACAGCGACGGGTCTCCCGATGGATCCATGCGAGTTGTTTGTGTCTTTTCGTATTCCGATGCATTTCCAAGCACCATGGCTCCAAGATCCAAAACCTAACAAGCAATGGTCAACAATATCTGACCACATCTGACTCTGGGCCCTCGCACTGTACACGCTTATTGAAGGTGTACATGAGCATCCTCTCTGGATCTGTTGTGTACATGGGGCTCTTCTGACCGAGGATGATCTCCTAGGTTCGACGCGTAAGTCGCGACAGTTGGCGCGACAGTTTAAGCTACTTGTCAATGGCTCATTCTGTCTGAACAAAAGGAACTCTGGCTGTTTTGTAGATTCGTGGTGCCCAAAGCTTGCAAACTTGGGACGTCTTACTTCTAGAGAGAACACTTTGCATAAATTCAACATTGTATCTTCAGTTGCCAAGATCACGGTACAATGCACCGCAACAAAAAATCGCAAAAAAGTCCCTCGAACAAAAACAACTGTCAAAATGATCTTCAAACACTGACCTTCAGCTATGCAAGAATCCCAAAGAAACCCTTGTCTGCTCTGCCAGGCTGCTAATGCTCGGTCCTGACGAGCTCCAGCGACCGCTCTTTTGCTACTAGTTGCTGGCCGTGAGATCCAGTTCTTATGGAACTAACTGAAAGCATGGTGCACTTTTTTAGCTGAACCGGAAATGCAAAAAGAAACCCTTGGATACGTGTTTGCTAGAAGGATGTCAGGCAGCAGGTATTCTACGATGCAACTTGCACTTTTTGATATGCTGATCAATACTGCCAGTAGCTTGTACCCTCTCAAGTGCACAGAAATATGGTTGTGCAGTTGAAGGGAATAGATATCTCCAGAAACATGTAGAAGATTGATTGCTTCAACCATGAGTGTACAAAACAATCTTATTCCTTGCCAATAAAGTGGAGTAACAACGGAGCGGGCTGGTTCACTTCGATACACTCTAGCTGGCTTTGCACACGGCGAAGGCTTTGGGTCCTCATCGATTGAACATCTCCAGAACGGAAACTCTTTCAACAAAAGTGGGTGAACACACTGGCGGTGTAGACCTTCGTTCTCCACATGTTGCGGCAAGTGTTTGTGTGAAACATGTTGAAACAGTGAAAGGCTTTTGCAAGGCTTTTTGGTTGAGCATGAGTGGAACATGAGTTCAAGCCGGCCCTGGACCCAAGGATCCTCCACCCAACCCACTTTGTGCCCATACGATGCGGACCGTGCGAACAGGGCGGCACGCCTGGTCTCGAGCCACCCAGACATACTTCTGGCCTGGGTCAAAAGTGATCTCTAAATACCGTGGCAAGCTTTCATGGCAACTTGCCCCAAATTGAACAGAATGGTCCTGCCTTGGAGGAGGATCATTGAACCGAAGTTCTCGGCGTCTGGCTGCTAGAAAAGCACCTTCTTCCACGTCGATCACGCACCCTGACAATGACTTACCCCTCAAAGACTTTTAAACTATAGACTATCCATGACTATCCAAACAGAATACCCAAAGACTCAGTTTCTTATCAGCGGCCTATTTCCAAAGCAGTGATGCATGATGTGATTCTCATATTCGCCACAAAAGGATGCTTTTAGCTCTTTTGGAATGACCGCTATGGTTCACTCCATGTTGCCTTTCAACGAGAGGAATTTCCTGTAGTGTGGCACACACAAAAAGAACAAAGGGCCCCATTCCGCAAGGCCAAATGTGGTCCAACTGGGACTCCAACGGTTCTCCTTTGCGATTGGAGGGGCCGGGTCCATCGCGCTGATCTGCGGAGCCGTGCAAAGCAGTGCGGAGTCGAGCGAAATGGCCCATAATTCCCCAAGCATGGCCCAGTACTATTGCAACTGGTTTGCTTGTGATTTCGCTTCTTTCTGGAAACTGGGGGGATTGGGGGGGATCAACAGATACATATCAAACTTTTTGGAATCGAAAGACCTCCTTTAAATTAGACAATCTCATGAGTGAAGAACAAATGACATCATGGAGCGTTGGGTTATTGTTCATGTGCATTTTGGGGGACAGTCCAAAGGCATTTCGAGTTTTTTTGGATCACTGTATGGCATCTTTGGGCTTCAGGACTTCCATATACTCACTTCCATATGATTCTGAAGTCGGATCAGACCTGTCTTGCACCACCCATTCCGACTGCTTGGGACAAGAAAGGGAACCAAGGCTACTCGGCGAGCAAAACCGCTCGTTTCTTGAGCAGGAGACAAAAAAGGATCGCCAAGTCGTAGTTTTTGAAAAACGAAAACACAAGAAGAGCTCCCCACAATAAGACAATTGAACCCTATCGTTTCACCCTGTGCATTTGGGTCTGGCAACACCCTTTTGCCCTCCAGAGCACCTCCTGGCTTTGGCGCAGTTTCTCTAACTGCTCCGGGTCCGTGGCTCGGGGGTCTGGCTCATCTGCCACGAAGCCAAGCACGGCCAAGTGCCTCGGTGCTTGCTTCGGTGCGCCTCGGGGGGCTTGGTGAAGCAAGGGCAAGCTGCGGGAGTTATACCCGTTGTACCCCAAGGAAATTGAGATGTGCACATGCACATGTTCAGGGTACATCTGCCCCCCAGTTGTAAAGTCCCTGATGTCAAGATGCACTGGCAGCTGCTCCTGCTTGCGCGGCCTGGTGCCTGCAAGGCAGATACACACCCTCCCAATCTTTGCCATTGGTTGACTTCATCGGATCCAAGGTTGTATCAACATTGAGCACTATTGGAACGCCTGTCCCAATAATTTGGTGAAGAACATAATAATAGCATCCTGTTGGTGGAGGCTTTCCGGATCAACCTCCCGAGTCTGCCCCCCCTTTCGGGGACGGCCTCCCGCCAACTCGTCCGTGGCCTCAGTAACACTGAAGGGCCAGTGCCCAAGGCTCCAAGACTTTACCAAAGGTGAAACATGCTGTGCAGTCGCAGGCCGGGTGGTTCCCAGGTAATTACTACTTGCTGCGATGAACTTGGACCGTGATTTGTAATGGTGGATCCTGATTAGCAAGAGGGATCCCCCTCCGTCTAAATAAGTGGGAGGGCCTCCAACATAAACTACCACCAAGTGCAATTGATTGTGGCATTGATTTTCCGTTCTTTTCATTTCATAGATTGTAAATATTCAGCATCCTCTCTCAGGTTCTTTGTAATTAGATATTCTCAGCAATCCTTTTATACTACTAAAAGCTGTAAGCTTTGAAGAAGAACTAGAGAGTCAACAATCTCAGCAAGCCAGTCATCGGCTTAGTCGTATTAAGAGTTCATGCGCGTGTGTGTGTGTTATATTTATTTTTCTGGGGAAACACCTTTTCACAGCTGAGGACCCTTAACACCCCTGAACACAAAGTTTCTATTGAGGATCAGGGGCCTTCCTGGTCTACTACCTTGAACATGTATTTAGGAGCAATCTTCACATAAAGGATTAATTAAGGAATTGATGGCTTTGGGAAGCTGTTAGTTCTTTTTGAAGAAGAACTAGAGAAACCCATCTTAGCAAGCCGGTCATTGGCACAGTAGCATTCAGCTCAGAAGGAGTTAACACCCTAACTATTTTTCGGATAACACAAAAAGTAGGACCAAATAAATCTAGCACTATAGAGAACACTTAAAACAAACAAGATGTCCAGAAATATACATGTTTGAAAGGAATAGCATTGGTAAGGACCCTATTGCTAATCAGGATCCAACATTGGACAGAAAACCATCCATTGCGGAGGCAAACTACAGGGTGGTCACAGGGATCTTCCCAATCCAAACTCCAAAACATCTGTCCCAATCATAGAGTACAGTTTTGACCAATCTTCTTCACGTGGATGTAGAATGATGTAGACATGGTGGCATCCGGGGTATTGATCTCCCAAGCATCAACGAAAGTCTGCCACTTCGAGAATGCCGACTTTTGGGGCTTCTCGCCGGAGCTGCCACTGCCTGACTGTCAGGCCATGTGGTGCTACTGAGAAGACTATTGCATCTAAAGCGACCATGGGTTCCCTAGTGGTCCTGCTATTGAACAGGAGCTCTTTCAAGAGGCTTTGCTCCATCCATGTCTTTGGGGTTGTTTTGCGATGCTCAAACTGAATGGATATTCTTGATCTCTTTCTAAAGCTTCAAGGATTTTCAAGGCCTCAGGATCTAGTTCACCAATGTGAAGTGCACCTATTTATTCTGCCCGACAAGCTGGCAGCTGTCCCTACATGTTCAGATAGACGCCGAGCAGCGAACAGCGAAGTGATCCGAGCCTTCGGCTTCGTCCTTGGCCTGCCTTTTGGTGCCATGGCGGCACGACCGAGCTGCGCCGTGGCGCCGTATGCTAAACCAGAAGGTTGCCTATATATCTTGGTTCTTCGGCTTCGTCTCTGGAAGACTTAAGAGAAGGTGCTCTGCTCTTTGGATCGTGTATTGTACTGCTAGAGCATGTGAAGAGAGATACCTTTGAAGGAGTGCATTGGACAGGACCTACTTTAAGCCTTGTATCATGTTCCGGGATTCTCTTTTGTGCGGGGGTGTTTTCCTCATCACCCGACATGGTTTGGCCCGTCATCTTCACAGCCAAAATGTGGCAGTCAAACAGCCAACAAATGTGGCTAGTTCTTTCTAGTTCTTTGCAGTTCTTTTGCATTCCAACTCTGTGGAAATCTCACAAATCCATCTCATGTCCTCCGCTCAAGTGCTCAACGGTAGTTGAAACAAATCCTTTGACGCAAGCACCATCGCGAGGATGTGTTCGGTCAACTACAGTATCTTCTGAGGGATCCTCAGTCTTCTCTTCTCCAACAAGCCATAAAGGAACAAAGAAGTTCTACGAAAAATCGTGAGCATCGAACCCAGCCCAAGGCCTCCTCTACCTGGCATCTTCCCAGCATCCATGCTTGGCTGCCCATGACTCTTTTTCACGCGCTGTGCCTACAAGTCACAGCAGTCACAGCAGTCATAGCAGATCTAGACCTGCCACATTCGAGTCCTCGTCCCTCCCTTCCACATCAATGCGGATGGCCAGCTCAATGACCTCCGCCTCACCGGCACGGATGAGATCGGCCCAGAAGAAGTTCTTCGCCCGGTCCAGAGGCAAAAGTCGACGGGCCCAGGGTCCCAAGAGCACCACCTGAAGGCCACTTAACGGTCAGGGCGACCACGGTGACCGCCATGGACCAACCAAAGGAGGATTGATGATGGATGGCAGAGAAACAATGCCGTTTTCACAGGAATGTCGACCAGGGCAAAAAATTGCATAGCTGGCATACACCACCAAACTGACAACCATTGAGGCTCAACTTGCCCTATGTATGAATGGAGGGACAAAGAGAATACACATTCGATCACATGTGTAAACGCAAAAGCGGTGGCAAAGCGACACGCTACATAAAGCTGATTCAGAAGTCTAACCAGAATAGCGCCCATTGACGTTCCCGATTACACCGGAAGCATACTGAAGTGAGTGTTGGTTTCTGCCAAAAGTTTGAAAAAGGATGAAAAGGAGGCTGTGTTGAAATACGCACCCAGAAATCAACAAATCCTCATCCTTTGAAATGCTCAGAATGTCCTCGTAGCACAATCCAAGCTACATTGGCGACTAGCAAGAGGTATCGGCCCGACATCTCAGTGCAGAATGCATGCCAAACCTGGAAGCAACAGCTGGCACCCAGCGAAAAGCTCAAATATGACCTGACGAAGAGCACCAAATGATCACAAAGGTCCAAAGGTTAAAAACCAAAGCTGCTGAAGTCATGAGGAGCTGTGTTGGTTGGGTGGTATCTGTCCAAGTCAGGAACGCTGGAAACAGAACTAGGGTAGTATATAGTGACAAGTGCGTCCTTCAGCCCTTAGAATGCAATGAAAGCTTAAGTTTACAGCACAAATGCGTCAAAGCACCTGGAAATCCCAGCATCTCGACTTCTCGTATCTGAAGGCAGTCTGACATGGAATCTCCAGATTGCAACGTCAAATAAGAATAAGTTGGCCACCGCAGCGCTGAGAATTCCAATGCCTAAGCAATGTAATTTGGGCGAATGAATCTGCCAAACATTATTTGCCTTGACCGCGACAAAAAATGATAATGATGTGATGCTGAAGTTGTTTTGCGTGACACATTGCATTACTAGCACCCTGACATAGCACTATTGAAACATCATCTAGGCTCACACATTTGCTAGCTTTCAGCTGTTGCAAACAAGGCTCTCAACAAGGGAATCAACGGACACCAAAAAAAGAGCGTCTCGATGTAAGTGGTCAACAAAGCCATTTGTTGCAGAGGCAGCAAGGAGCCGGTCGTCTTGGGCCCTTTTAGCAGCTGCAAATGGCGTCCCTCTTCTGGATGTTCAGTGGGTTCTGGCCGGGAGACACCTAAGCTGTCTTGAAATGCGGTGGCAAGAGACTGCACTTCCAGTATCAAAAGAGTTGAAGTATGGTGATCTTCATCAAGCACTTTACACAGGTCTTCCATGATCTACTGCAACCTCCATTGTCACCCATGGACTGCGACCTGTCATTTCTCTTGCTGCCTCTTCTGAATGGGGCAGCCTTCTCAAGTCGTATCAAGGAACTCCACAGGACCAGCATTACCAAGGGCTGCAGCGTGCTCCGAATCAGGAGCTTCTTGAGCAGCAGCGCCGTCAAACCCTCCACGATCGACCGCGAACAACGGCCATCTTGCCACCAGAGTAGGTTCAGGGAGCACATGTCCTCGCATGACAGGAGCAAGGAAGAAGTGAGGAGCACAAGAAAAGCGATCGATTGCGACTGCAAAAAGGGCTTGTCTTTGAAATACCAACAACAATCTGGTACCTCCAGGTAACTCTTAAGGCTCGCAAATGTGACGGAGCAGTGATCAGAGACGGCTCGGAAGTTGTGATGATGGCAGTGATTGCAAAAGATCAGATGGGACGAAGAGCCCTAAGGCAGGATGGGACGCAACCCGACTGGTCTTGAGAGGTTAGACATAGTGTTGGAATTCAATGCCTGGAATGGTTCATATGGTGTGCGGAGCCACAGATTGCTGGATCGCTCCTTCTTGGTATTGAGGATCTCTTCATCCCAGATTTTCCAATTGAAGGATTGATGCTCAGGTGCCTCCTCTCTGCAAACGATCCAAAACAGCTTCCATCCTCCCAGGCAGTTCTCATGTAGGAAGACAGTGGTCAGAAGACTCAGAAGCCAAGCCGAAAAGAGCCGGAAGGTCATCAAGAGACGATCCGCCTGATGTTTAGCTCGAAGGGAGCTGAGGGGGAACATGGTGTTTCTCCAATCTGTTCATGGCCATCCCAGGTCTGGCCGGGGTGAAAGCATATTCGTTCCAAACCTCATGATTGGCAGGGGTTCCTTCATCTTGGTATGCGCGATGTTGGGCTGGGCACAAGAACCGTTTTGCAAACAAATAAAGGTGGAAGGCATACAAATCGCCTATAGTTTCTCAGCCCTTTCTTTTGCTATAGTAGCTGCAATCTGACAATGACTGACCAGGCAGGATACAGTTTGGAGAAGTTGATTGCAAGGGCCGGCTGCCCTCACAAAGAGCAGTCTTCAAGCAACCCAAACGGATCCTGCACCCTCCCATCGTCCAGCGCCCGAGGGGCCTTAATGCCACTTCGAGCTGAGTACTGCATGGAGAGAGCGCTGGCCACCACAGTATCAATGGCGACAATGAGAAACGGCGCAGCCGAATGGATGTGGCTAAACCACTCCTGATTCACAGTCTTCGGCAGGGCCTAAAGAGGGCTGGCTCAGGGAAAGCATGCAACAAGGCCAATGCACAATGTTCCACTGCATCACTACCGACTTGTCATTTGAATGAATCTCTTTCTGGATTTCACATGCCCTCATTATCAGGCTCTGATCTCTTCCTCCCATGATGACCGGTCAAACAAAAACGACCTCTGGTTGATGGACCAAATTGATGGACGCAATCCTTCACATGCACTAAAAATACATTATATATTTTGTATAGAGATAGGTGTATCATGGTGTATCTAGATATACAATACATGCAAATGTGCCGCGCTTTGTGGATGTTGCCCATCAACACCATGACTCTTCTACTGATATGTCTCTAGAGCACAAAATAAAACATCACTCTCAGCCCCTCAGGGTGCGCCTGCACTGCCGCCACCAGAATGGAGGGCATTGAGAGCACACTGACAAAGGAGAACCACCTTCCAGGACCCGGAGTCGCTGGTTCCTGCCTTGTTCCTGCCTCGTTCCATGACTTTTTTCACAGAAAATGTTGAGGAAACATCGCCCTCAATCAGCGAAGTTGTGTGTAAAGCTGAGTGCTCGTGGACTGCAGTCCACCAAGATGCACTTTCTTGCCCATGAAGTACTTCAAGCAATGTAGACCCGATGTAGACTCTTGATTAATAAACCCCCCATATGAAGAGACTTCTAATTCAAATGGGAGGGCCTAATCAAGAGTCTACATGAAGTCTTGTAATCAACGCTAGATCTGGACAGTTCTCTCAATTCTGCATGTTTCAAATCATCTTTTCCAAAAAGCAAGAGTACTTCTCTTGTCCTGACAACTCTTGATTGAACCTCGCATGAGTGTCCTAGCCTATACCCGTGTTTTGGTGCTGTGGCTTTCACGGTCACGGCTCTTTGGATGCTTCTCCCCACCCCGACGATCGCCCTTCTTGTGGGGGGGGGAACGCCAAGCCACAGAAGCCACGCGAGGCCCTTCAACACCTGGGTCTTCATGCTCGGACCTCGCGCCCGACCTGGGTGAGGGACCGAGAGTTCGAGCGAGCTGGGCCGTCTAAGGTGAAGCTTCGTAGAGGGCGAGTGGACAAAACGTGCCAGTGCCATAGCTGCCTAGTGAGTCTAGTGGGATGGTAATTGTCGCCAGTTGTAGGGATCGTGGGTGTGGTTCAAACATGTTCAAACGGTTGAAAAGAAGAAAGCTGGTGATTTCTGGGCCCTCAGCTTAGATGGACAAGGTGTGCCTTAACCACTTGAGAAGTTGGGATTGATTCCAGAACCGCACCAAGATGCTATATCTCAGCGGGCTCTCCGCTGTCTTGGGCATACTCAGCAGGATTGATCGAAAGAAGAGGACCGCTCCACACCATGCGACCACCACCCCGAGCTCTCCCCAAACATTCTCTTGCAGATTGGCCAGGGTGATCTGAGACAAGGGAGGGCTGCAGGTATGATAACCAGTGCCTGCCCAGAAAATCATCAGAAGCGGCCATGACATTAGAATGGATAATCCTGCGACTTTGATCAGTGTGAGGTTGGATGCTGCCACGCGAGATGCTGCTCCTGAAGATAGGCTCCGTGAAGCCTTTCTCAGCTGATGCTGTAAGGGTCGATGCAACAGTGCGAAGGTGAGCACCAGCAGCACCATGGGGACCATCACGAACAAATTGTCATTCCAGACCTGAGCACAGGATCCGCTCCACATATTAGAGCATCCCATCACTTCAGCACATGATCTACTTGGCCGCTTGGGGAAGTTTCAACTCTGCAAAATCCAAGGCACCTTGGGCGAATAGTAAAGAAATGCTTGGTTCTCTTCCGCAGAGATCCATGAAGCATTCAGCCTTAAACCCTGACCGAGCATGTTTCCCATCACTCCTGTAGCATGAATGGCTGTGTTGTTGCTGCTAATTGTGTCAGGGACGTGGCATGAAAAGCGATTGTGATGAAAAGTAGCATTGGAGCTGCCCTCGCTGTCGCAGGTCCCACACAGGTCGGGGCAGTTCAGTCTGACTAGCTCCACCTCAAGGATCGGGTAATGAAGAAGCTCCATGAGAGCACGACAGTCTGTTTGTTCAGCCTCCAAAAAGACACAAAGGATGTAGCAAGTCGTCGAGTGTAACTCAAATCGAGGGTTGTCAATGCAAGGCGAAGTGAGGCGAAGCGGAATGATCGGGCCGCGGAAGGAATTTTCATGCAATGTCAGAACTGAGAGGTGTTCTAAGTTCTGAAAGGATCTCGGGATAGGTCCAGAGAAAGAGTTTCGATGTAGCGTCAGAACCACCAGCTCAGTGGCTTCGACTTCTGGAATCAAGCCCGACAAACCATTGTTGTTCAGAGAGAGGTGCTTCAACCTACCTGGTGATCAGCATCTGTCAACAAATCCTTAAAGCCCATCCAAACACACAGGAAAATCCAAGAAACACGTTAAAAAACGTTGGTTGATTTGGAGAGGTTGCGAAACTGCATCAAACAGGGTGGCAGTCGTCCAATAAAGCGGTTGTGATTCAGGCGCAGCTCACGTAGTTGGCCTCCGATCGACTGCAAGTTGCAGAAAGGCTCCACCACTGAAGCCACACTTCCAGCCTCAGTACAAGCAGCTTCACTCACACGTCTGACACCAAAGGGAAAAGCGAAAGGGCTGGTTCCCAAACTCCATGTGACCTGTTACACACAAATGCGGAGTTGACCAGTGTTTAAACACGGAACCAATGGTCATCCCTGAACCGTTACCTCAATCTGTCCAAAGGTGTCAAACGTGAACCAACGCGAATCCTCATTCGATAGTGGAACGGATGATTCTTCTTGCCTGGCAACGAAGTCATTATGGCTCAGATCCAAGAGTTCCAGGCTTCGTGGGAGGGGGGGCACTTCGCCCTCAAAGAAGTTGTTGCCCAGGTCCAAGAGCTGCAAGTTTAGCATGTGCTGAAACGGTGGCAAAGGACCCTTGAAGGCATTTCCATTGAGATGCACATCCTGATCATGAACTAGCGGGTCGCTAAAGAGGTCTTGAACCAAGGTACATATAGTTCATCTTGCAGCAGAACTAGGAAGAACTCACCTTAACCATATTCAACATTCTTCAACCCTCCAATGCAGTCCAAAAGAATTATACCAGCGTTGACCCCAGACAGTTTGTTTGATCCAAGTCCAGACAAGTGTAAAATCATATGGCCACAGCACCACCAAACAACTGGAGACTGCGGCAGTCAAATGGGAGACAAGTGCAAAATCATGCGGACAAGAAAATCATGCAGCCAAAGCACCTACAGGAGAGTGAAGAGAATGGGAGACCGGTGGAAGACAAGTGTAAAATCATGCGGCCAAAGCACCCACGGCGAACTGGAGACAGTAGGAGACAAATGGGAAACAAGTGTAAAAATCATGCGGCCAAAGGAACTACAGGAGACTGGAGAGAGTGGAGCACAAGTGGGAGACAAATGGGAAACAAGTGTAAAATCATGCGGCCAGAGCACCCACAAGGGATTGGAGACAGTGGAAGACAGGTGGAGGGCCCACGGGAAATCGGGACTGGAGACGGTGGGAGATAAGTGGGAGACAAGTGTAAAATCATGCAGGCAGAGCCCACACAAAACATTGGGAGAGAAGTGGCAGACAAAAGAAAAATTACGTGGCCAGAACACCCAGCGGCAGGAGACAGTGGGAGACAAGTGGGACCGAAATGTACAACCATGCGGCCAGTGGTTGGTTGGGGGTTGTCGTTTGGAAGTGCGTGTGGTGGTTGTCTTACGGGTGGTCGCGTGTCTGCGTGCGTGGGAGTGGTGGTGGGTGTATGTGAATGTACACGTCGAAGAGAGCAATGCGCCGAGTTTGAAGTCTGCGTCTTGTGGTGTCCTGCGCAAGAGCAGTGCGCAAGAGGTTTAAAGTGGTCCTGGCAAGTCGCTCCCACGCGGCCAAAGGAAACAAACGGGAGACAAGCGGGAGACTGCGGCCAGCGCACCCACAAGGGACTGGAGACAGTGGGAAACAAACGGGAGCCAAGTGTAAAATCATGCGGGCAGAGCACCCACAACAAACTGGAGACAGCGGGTGGCAAGTGGGAGACAAGTGTAAGATCATGCGGCCAGAGCACCCACCACAGAGTGGAGACAGTGGGAGACAAATGGGAGACAAGTGTAAAATCATGCGGCCAGCGTACCCACAAGGGACTGGAGACAGTGGGAGACAAGTGCGAGATAAGTGCAAAATCATGCGACCAGAGCACCCACAAGTGCAAAATCATTCGGCCAAAGCACCCACAGGAGACTGGTGACAGTGGGGCACAAGTGGGAGACAAGTGTAAAATCATGCGGCCACAGCAACCACAGCGTGGCAGGAACGCAAGCCCAGAGACAAATGTAATATCATGCGGCCTGGACATGCACCCCTTTCAAAGGAGGCAGAAACCCTCACAGGTAAACCTGTTTGGGGCAAAACACGTTACAAAAAGAGACAAAAAGGCAGTCCTGCAACTTCTGCGTCCAGAGTTCTTCTGGGATTGGGCCTGAAAGGTGATTGCTCTCCAGGTGCAAGCTTTGCAACGACTTCAGGTGCCCAATGCTTCTGGGAATTTCCCCGGTCAAGCGATTGTATGACAGGTGCAGCACCGTCAAAGAGGGGAGCTCTCCCAGACCTCTCAGGGCGCTGTTGGGAGCCCCACTCTTGAGCCAAAACAAGCAAAACACACACTTGAGAAGGTTGCTCCGTGGAGCGTGATTTCAGGTAGCTTCGCAGTGTGCATTAGCCCTTTAGGTGAATACTTAGCCCTTGACTTGATTCAACGGAAAGAAGTGCAAAGTCCGCTCACTTGAATGTTTCAACAAGAAGTATTAATTTAGTGTATATTAAAAATTGCAGGTACACAGTCAGACGTCTCTGACCGCATCCACCGAGCAAGCATAGCTTTGTTAGCCAGCGTTTGCTTGTCGGCCGCTGGCCCCCTGCGTCTGTACAGAAACGCTTGTAGAGTAGATTAGCGAAACTAGGGTAGTGTCCTTGGAAACAGGAGTGGACACACACACTGAGCCGTATCGGCGCAACTAGATCAGATCAGGTAAGGTCCGGATAATAAATAGTGGAAGTGCGTGACATTGAAAGGTTCTATACTGTAAAATACACATCACAGCAGTCTGCGGAAGTGCTGGCACATAGTCTTTTTCTTCTTGGCCGCAGCGCCGCGGCGCAGTGTGCTGGTGAATGGCCTTTGGCCATATATAGCTGCATCAACTTCTGTGCGGTCGTGTAGGCGAGATGTTTGGGGTAAGTGTATTTTTGTAGTGTGTGGTGGCGTGATTGTAAGCCTGAGAGGCGTAGTCTGTGACTCCCTGCGGACTGCGGATCCCGAATTTGCCAGGAATGGGTGGGGAGTTGGAAGGTGACGGTTCTGTTGAGAGGGTCAATCAAGAAACCGAGTAGATGGTCGTCGTCCACTGGCTCTATTTCAACTGGTTGTTCGTAAAATTCAGGATGGGCCAACGTAGTGATGGGGAGTGCTGATCTGTACTGTTCGTTGAGCAAGATGTATCGGTTGTCGACGTAGCGAGTGTTGAGCAAGTGAAGGCTTGGTTGTTGTAAGAAGGTGTGGTATGTGGTTCGCCAAGTGTGTTCGATGAGCGTGATTGCCACATTGCAAAGTGCTGGTGAGAGCTGACTGCCAATGCCGGCTCCTTGAATTTGTTTGTAGTAGGTGTTGCACGCTTGGAAAATGCATGAGTGAAGAGCTTGTTGAACGATAAGAGGAATGTGTTGTGTGTCAAGTGTGCGTTGTTGTGGGTGGTGGATGTAGTGACGACCGATGTGTGAGTGTTGGATGGGGTTGCCGGTAGACTGGACATCGATGGTGATGGTAGTGGTGTTGTGTTGTGCTTTCCAGCGGTTGCACAGGCTGATGACTGCGTCGACAAGGCGTTGTTGAGGAACGCTGTTGAAGAAGCCGACAAGGTCGTCGTTGATTGGTGTGAAGTGGATGTCTTCGGGTGTGGTCTGGAAATGGTTGTGGAGGTGTTGCCAAAGGTTGGGTATAGATAATTGGCCTGGATGTTGGGGTAGAAGATGAAGGAGCATAATGTCAAGTGCTTTGGAGGTGGCTCGTAATAATGTGCCTGCGATGGATTTGAAATAGCTGATGACTGTTCTACCCTTTCGCCAGGATTTCTTTGTTTGAGGAAAACTACTCCATGTGGTGTGTAGAATTTTGTGCGGAAACCTCAGGGGTATGCTTTGCGAATGCTGGCTGGAAAAGATTGTGTGAGAACTTGTTGGAGTTGTTGGGCTGTGAGATCTGGTAGTGGGAGAAAAAGTTGTGGTGTATTCCATGTGGTGAGACATCCGTGGAAGTAGTGCTGTGGGCAAAAGAGTCGTAGGTTTTGTAGTTCATGGTCAGCATGATGGAGTACCAGCTTGTCTGTAAGAAACTGTTGAAGCTGTGTAACGTTGCGGGAGGTAAAGCGGGGCGTGTGTAGAAGATTGTCGATGTGCTGTTTCCATTGTTGGTGTAGAAAAGGTAGGCTGTGTTGATGGAGGGCAGTGGGTAGACCATGGTGTCGTAGCCAGTGAGTGAGTTGTTGTTCAAAGTGTTGGAAATATTGCGTCTTTGTGGGAAAGAAAGTGCTGTTCATGTTGGCTTGTATGAATAGCTCAAGATGGCTGGGGAGCTGTAGGTCTTCAAGTGTAAGTACGTAGTGACCATCGTAGAGCGGCGGTGTGTGGTTGGGACGAAGCAAGGTGTGCATGTGGTGGCAGCTGCATGGCATGTCAGCGGCTGTGGGATGTGTGGAGAAGAGTTCTTCCCAACGTTTGTGGTTGTAGAGCCGGGAACGCAAAGTCTTGTGTGCTGCTTCGCGTAGTTTGGTAGTAGGGGGGTGGAAGGGAATGACGTGATGCATGTGGTGTTGGATCAGTGTGCGAAGCCATTTTTCCGTGGAAGACGAGAAGGAATTGTGGGAGAGGAAAGGAATGGTAAAGGGTTTGTTGGCTTTGGGTGGAGTGAGATTGCGAAAGCTGAGTGCTGAGTGGAGAAGGTGAAGAACACGTGATCGATCTGGTTCCTCCAGGCTGGCGGCCATTCGACGGAAAGCGTAAATTTCAAGATCAGTGTATTTGCCGCTGCGGATGGCTGTGGATGTTTGAAAAGATGAAAGTGTATGCTTGCTGAGCTCGCGTAAAACTGTAAGGGCGTGTAGGCGTTGACTTGTGTGAAGGTGGGGTTGCTTGATGGTGTGTTGTCGTCGTCGGAGCCGTTGGAAAAGACGTTTGTGAGTGGACATCCGTGTGAAAGTGGTGCGATGTTTTGAAAATTGCCAACCTGAGGCTTTGAGTTTGAGGTGTCTTTGGATATAGGGCCAATTGAGTGTAGGTTGCCATTCTTGGATCCGCAGGTGTTCGTAGGTCCATGCTTGATCATAGGTGTCGTGATGGGAAAGGTAAATAGTGCTGTAGTGGTGGAGGTTGTTCTTGGAGTGCCAGTAGCGTAGAGAAAGTTCAGCTGAAATGGGATGGTTATTGTGTAATTGTTTGAGTTTTGCGTGTCGATTGTATTCTCGCTTGGGGATGGTGATGCTGGTAGAGCCGATGTATGTATGTCCATGTTGGTGGTACTGGTGTCTTGTGTGATGTTGGTTGAAAAAGAGCTTGGCATAAACCGCATTGGGATGTGTGAACATTTTGTAGTGATAAGTGTGTGGTGTAACTTGTAGTTGGTTGAAACGGGAGCGCCATTGTATAGAGTGATGTGTTTGCGAAGGAAAGGCAAAGAGGCGTGTGAGGTGAATAAGACTGACAGAAAAGATGGCGTGTGACTTGTCAATGTAGGGTGTGAAATGGACAAAGTGTGATAGGGCTGTGTGTAATGTTGTTAAAGATTGTAGGGTGTGATGTGTTGGTTGATGCAGTGCTTGTTGTACGAGTCAGGCTGCCAATGCCGAACCCGCGGCGACCAGTTGCTGTAGTGAACGTGGGGGAAGCTTGAGGACCCGAGCCAGCGGGATGCCGTAGCGGGTAGCTGCTTCTTGGAGTTGTTCTTTGGTGATATGTTCATCTCGTAGAATCTGCTGGATGTTGGTGACTTGTGTCTGAGTGGCTGGCGGTAATGTCTTGAGCCATTTCTGAATGCCAGCTGCTGCATAGTTGGCTGGTGAGTTGTCATGGAGTGTTTGTGTGGTGGGATTGAGAATGGTCGTGGTTGTGATGGCGGTAGAGGCTGGGAGTGGGAGATGCGGTGTGTGGGTGGCGGATGATGGGGCATGTTGTGATCCTGGCTTGGTTGGTGTGAGCGCAATGCCATGAGTCTTCAGTTTGTCGCGAGCGCGCTGGAGTTCGCTCTCTTGTTGTTGTAAGCGATCTGTCTGTTGCTGGAGCTTTCGGAGTGCTGTGCCTTCGCCGGCTGGTGGTGTAAGGCCTCGTAGAAAGTCAATGATGCGAGAAATAAGTGGTTGCATGAATTGTTTGGCTTCTGTGGTTTTGTTTGGAATGGACTGATCTGCTTGTTGGTGCAAATATTCGGCGATGTTGTCGATGTCCAGGTTGTGGGCCCTCATCTCTGGCAGCAATTGTGAAGTGAAGACCGCCTCCGCGATGGATCTGGTGGTGACAATGCCTGTGTAGCGTCCTTGGGACAGGATGCGGAGGCTGTGGTCCTGGAGGCCAAAAACGGCTGAGCTGCCATGGGAAAATGTCGAGGACTTGTTGTCCTGCGAGGTTGTATTTCCTGGACCACTGCGTCGGCTGAATTGTCCGAAACAATGTGTGACCATGTACGGTATTGGTATCCAAATGTGTGTCGCTGGGAGTCCATGTGTCAGGTAGGTTGGGGATGTTGGGGGGTACCACACCAAGCTGTGGAGGCGTTGGGTGGTGAGATGCTGCGGGTGGGGGCAGGGGTTCAGGTGGAAACGTTGCTGGTGGTGCCGGAGAGGTATTGGGTGAATCAACTGGAATGTTGGCGTGATGTTGTTGGTGCTGGTGATAGGGGTGTTGGTAGTGATGACGAACTGCATTGGTGAGAGGTCCATAGCCGGCAGTGGGTGTCGTGGTGCCATAGTATTGTTGCCACCATTGTTGATGCGCGTCCATGATGGGAAATGTTGTAGTTCTGTACACGAAAGAGCAATAAGCACGAGGTTAGTCGAAACTGATGGTTTGAACCACAATGGCTGAGAAGTTAAGAATTGAGACTGGAGAAAAATCAAAATTGTGACTTGGAAAGTCGATCGAAGCTCAAGTGGCAAGCGTCAGAAAATCTCGAAGAGCAAAATAAGTATGAACATAGACTCGATACTGTAAATATTTTCTCATAGCTGGAAAGGTCAATACGCTGGAGGCATTGGGTCAGAAACCATGTACATAAAATGAAAGACCTTGAATTAGGTCTGGCGCTCTCTCAGGGTGGCGCTCCAGCATCATCCCACCAGGGTCCCGGAGGTCCCGTGCCTGCTTCTGGATGATTGGGTCGTATGTTGGTGGGTGTCGGCAGGCAATAAATGGTAGGTGTGCTGTTGGATGATGATGCGAGTGGTGCGGTGATCGGCCCGATGGCTGTCAGTGTGGCTTGTCCTTGTAGGGGAATGCGAATGTTGTAAACTTGGGTAGAGTCGCATTGCTGTGGGTTAGTGTGTTGTAATGGTGGGGTAGGAAAGA